CACATCGAGATTCACAAAGTGCTGCGCCTGCCACGCAATCTGCACATTGAGATTCACAAAGTGCTGCGCCTGCCACGAAATCTGCGCATCGAGATTCACAAAGTGCTGCGCCTGCCACGAACTCTGCACATCGGAGATCCAAAATGAGCAAATTGCACGGGGCTTTCGCAAATTTTGAAATGCGTTTCAGAAATGCTGTGCCTGCCACGAAATCATGCCTGCAGGTCATACGAAATGCTGCACTGGCCACGCAAAATCATCCTCAAGGTCAAAGCCCAAAAGTGCGACCCCTCTCACGAATTCACCCGTTTCACCTCAAAATATCGCATCCATGGTGCGGATTCCCTGCGCCTGCCACGTGAAACGCAGTCCTGCGAATGACACACGCCTGCCAACGTTTTTGCAACGTCCACAAAACACTGCGCCTGCCACGAAATTTGCAAAGTCTCCGATTCCTTGCACCTGCCACGTAAAATGACCTTTTCCAGGCTCCAATGCGTCGAAATCCTTGCGCCTGCCACGCGAAATTCACTTCAGGTCCGAAAACGAGCACGGCGCCTGCACGAGAGCTTTGTCCCGGAAGCGCGAAAACCGCGACCCCCACTTTATGCGAGCCTGCGCAGTCGAAATGGACATGAGGAATTCAAAAAGTAACTTTTGTGCGAGCCGGCCCACGCAAAATGCCGGGGCCACACGCGCGAACCCTGATCTAAACCCGCTTAACTCTTACCGTAAGAACCCCTTAGTGCGGAGCACTATTTGGGGAAAAAGCACTCTTGCATCACCACCCGCTCCAAAATCACTAAAACATCACCTCCAAGAGTTTACGGGCCACCCCCCCCGACCCCCGACCGACTTCACACATAGATAATTCCCATCCACACTCAGGTGAAGCAAAAGCCAAGCAATGCACCAAAATTCGAGGTGGCCTGGGACCAGAGGCTCGCTGCCCGAAACTATATGTTCAGGCAACCTCAGAAATGAAGATATGCGAAGCAAGGGTCCTGAGGTGTCTCTGTGACAAGGCTTTTGTCAAAACAGACAATTTTTTCATGCTCTAAAACACTCTGTTCAGGCCACCTTAAAAATGAAGGTCTGCGAAGCGAGAGCAAAGGATGCACATTGTCCTTCTGTTGCTTGAATGTGGCCTTTTGTTTACTTAAAAGTTCAAGACCTCCCAGCTGTTTCCACCTCTTCGCTTCCCAGTCTTCCCAGGGTTCATATAGGGAGCCAGGCCATTTTCAGAATCTTCTGGGTTTGAGCTGTTCGGGTTCCTATTGAAGGGTATAGTTGGCGAGTGCGTCACCACCCGCTCCAAAAGCATCAAAGCATCACCCCCCAGAGTTTACATATATCTTTCTCCAAGTGTTTATGTATACCACCCCCCCGCGACCCCCGACCGAGTTCCCATCCACATTCAGATGAAGCAAAAGCCAAACAATGCACCAAAATTCGAGGTGGCCTGGGACCAGAGGCTCGCTGCCCGAAACTATATGTTCAGGCCACCTCAAAAATGAAGATATGCGAAGCAAGGGTCCTGAGGTGTCTCTGTGACAAGGCTTTTATTAAAACAGACAATTTTTCATGCTCTAAAACACTCTGTTCAGGCCACCTTAAAAATGAAGGTCTGCGAAGCGAGAGCAGAGGATGCACATTGTCCTTCTGCTGCTTGAATGTGGCCTTTTGTTTACTTAAAAGTTCAAGACCTCCCAGCTGTTTCCACCTCTTCGCTTCCCAGTCTTCCCAGGGTTCATATAGGGAGCCAGGCCATTTTCAGAATCTTCTGGATTTGAGCTGCTCGAGTTCCTATTGAAGGGTATATGTTCTCGTTGGCGAGTGCGTCACCACCCGCTCCAAAAGCATCAAAGCATCACCCCCCAGAGTTTACGTATATCTTTCTCGAGCCACACATGCACAGCAAACCACAGCTTGGAAGTCTCATTCGTGCTTTGCACTTGTATAGGTGTGTAAGAGGTATAGCAACATAGCATTTATACGGACCCAGGTAGCTACAATTCTGTTCCCAGGTATCGCGCGCATGAGGCTTCAAAGCTGTGGTTTTCAAGCTAAATTCAAGGTGGCCTGAGACCAGGGTTTGCTGCCCTAAAACACTCTGTTCAGGCCACCATGAAAATGAAGGTCTGCGAAGCGAGAGCAAAGGACTTTCCACCTCCTCGCTTCCCAGTCTTCCCAGGGTTCACCTATATGAGAATCTTCTGGATTTGAGCTGTTCGAGATCCTATTGAAGGGTATATGTTCTCGTTGGCGAGTGCGTCACCACCCGCTCCAAAAGCATCAAAGCATCACCTTCCAGAGTTTACGTATATCTTTCTCGAGCCACACATGCACAGCAAACCACAGCTATGAAGTCTCATTCGTGCTTTGAACTGGTATAGGTGTGTAAGAGGTATAGCAACATAGCATTCATACGGACCCACGGTAGCTACAATTCTGTTCCCAGGTATCGCGCGCATGAGGCTTCAAAGCTGTGGATTGCTGTGCGTGTGTAGAGGTTATCGTGCGGTTGGATTGCCCATCTTTCATCACTCCTCCAACATGTTCTTCATACAAAAAATATTCTGGGGTTTGTCTCCAGTATCAGTATCACATACCTCCAGCCATAAATATTCCTGTAAAAATATTCCAGAAAAAATATTCTGTGAACTCACGGTATGACCTGGAATATTGAATCAAGGTACCCCCCATAACTTGAAGTACTACACCTGGTAGCTGCACTATAGCTACCCTGGGTCTCTATACCTGGCAAGGTGCCAACTACACCTTTCCATTCAGATGATGCAAATGATGCAAACTGCATTTCTTGCATCACCACCCCTCAAAAATCATCTCCAACACAACCTCAAAAAACCTTCCCTCGACGCACCCTCCTCCCCCAGCATGTGCCAAGTTTACGTGTACCTTTTGCGGGCCACCCCCCCCAGACCCCCTACTACTCACTTCGTTCGCCAAACACAACTCCGCTGGCGCCTTCTACGAAGGCTGGCTTTCGTAACATAGCTGTCCACTAAGCTCCGTGAGCTGCCACCGTTTCGCACTTTTTCACTCTCCAGCACTCCAGCCGCAGCCAGCTGCCTACAGTCTGAGGACGCAAATCTGTGCTTCAACACAAAATCCACTGCCTCCAGCCTAGTCTTTCCGAAACTCTTCGTTGCTTGTCCTGAGATCACTAGACGGAAACGGGAACACTGGTGCTCAAGGTTGCTCAAGTATATTCTGACTTGCCTCACAATAGCTCTCGGCGAAACGGTAAATTCTGCTTCCGTTCCAAGGCTCTTTTTGTGGGGAAAGCGTTGAAAGGCGGATTGCCAGGACTCGCTACCCTTGCAAAGGCACCGCAAAAGCTCTCCCAGAAGCGACAGCTGCAGTCGGATCTGCCACATGGTGTCGCGTTCTCGAAGGGTCACGCTGCTGTCCTTTGGGGACAAACCAGGAACCAGTGGAAACACATCCAAGTGCAGTAGAGTCATTAGACAAACACATCGCATCATGCCAAACATGGAGCTGCAAACATAGCTCGCATGGTCATTGAACTTGAACACTTACACTCTGTGAGACAATCATGGAAGCACAGCGTTCTTTTAAGCACTCGAAGTACACAGGCAGAAACCTCCACGAATATGATGCCAGGGAAGCAAGCATTTGCACTGTTAAATCAATAATTAACATAGAAGCCACGAAGAGAGTGCAAATCGCCTAATGTCGTCCATGTCAGTTATTTTCTCAATGCGTTTCTCATGTCCACCTCTTAAAACGAACATGGCAGGCAGGCACGCAGTGGATGCCCAGTGTCCATGATGACGTTTGTTCGAGCTCAGAATCTTCTCGATTTTTCAGATTAAGCCGTTTTGTGTCTCACAATCATGGCATGGATGTGTTGTATCTGTGGCTGTTAAGGTTGCTGGAGGGAGAGTATATCAGCCTAAGTAAGTCAGTTGCAGCATTTTGCAGTGACCATTGCACCTTTAGATAAATTAGCAATCTAGAATTCAGGCACACATATATAATATTTTCTAGACTCAAAGTAATGCCTAGACAGTTTGCAAGCCGGGCCCTGTAGCCAACCAGTCAAACTTTGAATCTCACCCTCCACCCAGCACGGACCTCCATCGTTTCAAAGTCAAACGTGACCGCAAAAGGCACGCCCAACTCATCATTACGAGCATACCTGGCTTCTGCGCTGAGACACGAGTTACGGGGCTTTGGGCTTGAGAAGAAAAGCAACTGTTGAACCATTTCAAGCTCTGTACTGGGTGCTTGATCGTCTCAACATCTCTCAACTGCAAAGGTATCAACAGGGTGTGTCGATGTTTGTCATGTAAATGCAACTAAGCACCTAAACGCCTCCCAAGACCCAAGACACACGAACTGAAAGCCCTTTCAAGCCAACCAAACAGCCTACAGTGTACCGAGAGCCAGAGATACTGACATCTATTTTTGGATGTGTTGAGAAGCTCCTGTTCAGGCTTTTGGAAGCTTTCGCAGCCAAACGCCGCTGGATATTCGTACAGTACAGTGATCCCTTCTGGTATTCATGATCTAATTGGCAATCTCCGTATCGTATCGCAGAATCAGGAGCCCATGCCCTTGCGCTTGCACACCTTCTGCCAATGGTGGCATTGCTCTCATCACTAGTGAAGGACAGGCCCTGTTCACAAAGTTCTCTCCTGGAGATTGGCACCAGAAAGACCAGCATCTACTCTGATCTGCTTGAATGACACCTTTCGAATCTAAACATGCCGAAGAGTTAAATTACAGCAAATGAATCTAAAACAATACAAGTAAGTCTTGAGTCTTTTCAGAGAAACATTCTGACACCCTCTTGGAAAATATGATTTCACTTGAGCAAATACATGAGACTAGGCTCTGGAAGGAATCAAGCATCTGAAGATACCGCTTGTCGCGGGCAATTCGCTGATCCAAAGGCAGAATTACGCACCTGCAGAGACATGACTGACGACGAAAGAAACAATCGACGACAGCATGACTGAGTTGGCAACACTTTGCAACCATAGCCGCCAATGCTCGAGGTTAGTTTAGGCCCAAGGCACTTGTATGGTGCAGAGGCAGCAGCAAAAGACAAAACCCCCCGTGTCTGCTTGTCATCTTGGTCTTCCTTCGGCCGAGCACTGTAGACATGCCTTGGCCAGCAACCCAGCAATTAAACTACGAGTATTGCTTTGCAAAGATGCAATCAAGCCGCTCTAGTAGCATGGCGAAAATGCGGTCGATTCCAAAGGAAGGCTCGATGACACCGGGAGTGAAGGCATTCACAGTGACCTTTCAGAAGTGTGCAAATTCTTTGGTTTTTCATTCGCTCTTTGTTATTGTTCTGCTCCTGTTCCCTTTTATATAGCTTTGGAGTAGTTTTCTTGAGCTTGGCAAAATTCCCTATGATCCCAAAAATGACTTGAGCTGATTAGACCAGCTTATCTCTCCATCTCAAACAGCTTCTTGCTAAGCTGGAGGGTCTTCAACAACAACACCTGATGTAGGCATATATGTTATGTACATTTATGTACTATATTCAAGGCATATACAATATACATGCTTGATCATGCTTGTATCACAGAAAAACAAAGGCTCAGCAAGAAAATCAACGTTTTGGTAGGAGGACTACTTCAAGGTGATTTTGGCTTCCAGCAATTCCGGCCCCTTCAGTGGTGCCTTCTCTTTCTTCCGTTCGAAGACAGCAAGGCCTTTGGTTAATGTGAAGGCTTTGCCGTCGATCTGAACTTCAGCATCTCCACTGGAATCCAGTTGCTTGGCAATACATTCTAGTTCCTCCTGTGGCTGTGCCTAGGGCAACTTTGAATGATTCACTGGCCAAGCAAAATTCTGGTCTACCTATCACCTGTCCTCGCTGAACAAGGGGGTTGGTGTATCATATTGCTTGTCTGCTTAGTCCTACAAGTACAGTGTAGCTCTGCATCAGGCAAAGAAACTGAACAACAACTGTTAACTTCATCGTCGGAGCCTCTACAAATTCTTTCACCATCTTTCCATCCTTTTTGAACGCCTTCATGATCTCGACCCCGGATTTCTTGGTCAGGACCAGGATCTCTCGCTCAAAGGGTTTCTCCAATGACTCCTCTTTTTGATGGATTATGCCCGACGCTTGAGTCTTAGTAGCTGAGCATGTGGCGACATTAACTTTGTCCGCACAGTTCTTTGCTTTCATGTCAAAACCCAAGAAAAAACAGCTAAGCTGACTTGGTAGCAAACGCTTCTTTCCATACTTTGGGCCCAATGCTCCTTGTATTGCAAGTCGCATTTTGCTGCATTAGCATGTGCTGTCAAATCGAACGCAGAGCGGTCAGCGATTCCGACGCACTCCAACCACCCATAGGACCCAAAGATCTCTGCATCCCAGCAGTCACAGGCATAGTGAGCCATCTCTGTCGGCAGGTGCTGACGAAAACGAATGTATTCCTGGTGCCCCGGTCAGGAGTCCGGAAGCTTCTGGTCTTGGTACTACACTTGTGCATGCACACCTCAAGCTTCTGGCCTTCGCGTTCCCATGCATTTGCTTCTTCACACTCACATGCGTGTGTATTACATGTGCGAAAGCGCCCGGTTTTTGTGATCGTTCTACGGGAGACGGAAACATTTCAAAATGCATCAAATATGCTTTCCTGCACAATCGGATAAGATGCGTCGCCGCTTAGGAACACTTCACAAGCACAAAGGTCCTTCTTCAATCCGATACTGACCAGGAATTGCCATGTCTTAACAATGAAGTAGCCCAGAGTCTCATTGTTGATGAGACCCGAACGCACTGCTTCCCCAACTGTCATCTTGACAGGGTCTTGTGCAGAGAGCTGTGCATCCGCATGGAATAGAGTCAGCACGGTACTTTCCACCAGTCCAAACTTTGGATGATCCTTGCAGCAAGAAGCAGCGGAAAGAGGTAGTATATACATCCAACCACCTTGCAACTGCTTTGAACACAAATAATATAGAGCTTGCACACCCATACGTCAATCATCAAGTCATCTCTACAAATAACATACACTAACAAATTGTGCTTTCTACTTCTACTGCGAACGCGATCTTTTGCAAACATACTCGAAGTTACGCTTGCAAGTCTGTCATGGCACTGCTTGTTCAAGACATCTCTCATTAGCGTCTTTGAACGTGAAAGACAACGAACCCTATCCCAAACAACTGTTCATCATGGGGAACGCCACAGGCCCCGCAGTTAGTGTGAGGTATAGCCTTAGACAAGCGTGTACTTCTTGTTCTGCCTTTGACAACTCTTGCGCAAAAGAATGCTCCAGTTGCATCCATTTACCTCCTCATAGTTGGTCATCTTGAGTATTTTGTGCGTGAACAAAAGTCTGACCTGTTCTCCATCAAACAAAATGCAATTCAGGATAGCTCCAGCAAACTTTGCTGAAGGGGATTGCCGCAGCATTATACAAAGAGCATATATTATTATGCGATGGGTGAAGGTGCGAGCGGCTAGACAACAACAGATGGAGAGAAACGGTTACAAATGGTTTCGTTGTGCTAGCTCACCCAAACCCATCAAAACATGTCAAGAGCAACAAGCCAGCAAACATGTGAAGCTATCAGGCATCAAGCCATCAATCACGTCATCCTGTTCTACCATATTGTATATTTTCCCCCATTTTTACAGTTGTTGCATGTTTGTATGGGTCTGTTCTGGAATACGCTGCTCTAAAGTAGACAAAACACATACAACAACACCTTGGACTATGTGAACATGTTGATATTTCCTAGCAATGCTTCGCTGTTCTCTTGAAGATTGGTCACTCGTGACACACACACACACAAATCAATCATTCAAACGAGTTAGTGTGGACCTCATCCACCCCAGGTCACACAGCAAAAGATCCAAGTAAAAGTGAGAGTCAGTATGGATGATATCTGCACGATTTGCAACAACTTGCTTTGGATCTTTTCAGAACATCTGGCCTTCTGCTTGGGATTCACAAAATACTCGATCTCTGCCTGGGTGAACTCTCTCTGTCTTGTAAGGCCAGCCCGGGGCGCAATCTCATTGCGGAAAGAGCGCCCCACTTGCGCCACACCAAAGGGAAGGCGGTTCGAGTTCTGCTCCAAGCAATACCTGAAACACGATAACACAGGGAATCAAGCGGTGACATCTACAGTCACCACCTTCAAGAAATGGAACAGGCCCGTGCGAGCTGCGGCAGCTTTAGTCCTGGTGATATTAGCAAAAAGATCTAGAGACCAAAACTCATGGCAATCTGCTCTGAAAAGACCAAGTTGTTGGTTTTGTCCATTGTGGGCCAAAAACAAGCACCGGACGGTCAAAATCTGTTGACGACTGCTTCCCGTGAGAGGTTCAAAGGCAAACCTATGCAAAAAATAATTCAAAGACCAAGGTGCTTATAATTCAAGAAAATGCCCTGTGCTGTCTCTGGTCGTAGGTAACCCTGCAAATAGCCACCTGGGCCAATTGGGGTCGGAAACATCAAATTGAACTCGTAGGGCTCGCTCAAGTCATTTCCTGTCTCCGGGGACTTGATCTCCTGAAATTTGGGCATCTGCAATGCATTCTGAAAACCATCTGCGCGATTGAACAATATTGAACAATGAACTGCGATTTGATAATATTGGAGACCAGGATACAAAGAAAGATTTAGCAAAGCCAGTCTAAAGCTATGTCAATCACCGAAACACTCTTACATGAACGTGCTGTATGCTCTTGCCAGGACCAATGCATCTGGGCTTCGTATTTCTGAAACATCTCCCACATCTCTTTCTGTGAGAAGGCATCCGCCTGCGACTCAAGAAACTTTGGTGTCAGAACTAAACATGATGTCCACTAACTTTAGAAGAGCTTGTCTGGTGTTGCTGCATGAAAAAAATAAAAACATCATACTTCCAACTATCCATTGAGTTGTCTCATCGTTCCAATGCTTGAAGACCCAGCTCCGTCAAGATTAAGAAACTCGTCTTTCCAAGCTTGCAGGATCTGTCTGCATACTCAACTGGTTTCATCATTTCCATCCGCTGAAACCACTCTTAACATCTCTTCCGTGCCCGTCACCCCCCGCCTGGTTTCGCACAGTGGTGTACTCATGCCTCTGTGCTTCAGTGATGCCTGTCCACATCGATGTCGACTGCTTTCGAGTGGGGCTGTCCTGGTCTGAAATCCCAAATACTATTCAATATTAATCTGAGTGGCCCATGGGTCACAGGGGCCTTGTACCCCTTACTTTGGGAGAAGAACTTGATAGAAAGCAAGTTCGTGTCGACGGCACCTGTTTGGCTCCTGCCTGGTGTTTGCAGCTTGGCTTCCATGACCTCCTCTAAGAGCTTGTCGGCTCTGAAGAACTTGGACTCGTCCTACAATCTGCATATTTCTCAAAAGGGAACATTCGATTTCTTGGAAGGTGGTGGCTTTGGAAAGGCGGCCATACTGCGAGTGTAAGCCTTCAGCATTGGCGTAAAGGGAAGCAAAGGGGAGCCACATAAGGCAAATGGATTGACAATCCAAAGTGTCATGGTTGGATTCAATTCTGGCAGCCAAAACTGATGTCATCTATGTATATATATATATATCCAGAACTATCCAAACGGGTTTACTTAAGACAGTGGTACGAAATGCATCATGTCTACTTTTATATGTATTTTACGTGCTTCTTCACTTGTGTTTTCTGCGTCTTTTTTTTTGCGCCAGGTTTTGTCGGTTTTACATGACATAGAACTGTCGGTTTTCTGAACACAATGAACTTCGAATTCAGAACTGTCCTATTTTGTCCGAGGGTTCGTCCCACATCTGCATGTGTATCTCAAGGGGGGTTCGGGGGTGGGCAAGATGCTTGCATTGCATGCGTGTTGTCTTGTGCACACATGTGCATCTCAAGGTCTCAAGGGGATTGCGCACACATTGTATCTCATGTATTGGAGTCAAAGAGCAAAGGTTGCAGGATATGGTGAGATCCAAGTCAATACTAGCCTTGTGGATCAAATGCGGGCTGATGTAAAGCGGTGGGTGCCGAAGCCAATCACTGCACAAAACAAAGAGGATCAAAATTGGAGAAGTCAACGGCTTGTCGAGGTGCTATGTGTACCAGTGGTGGCTTCGGACTTCTTGTAAAGATGTGAAAGGACATACAGTAGGCAAAAACTCTACGCACAGTGGGCAGAAACTCTCGCTGGCTGAAGCGTTACCGCGGCCTGTAGAAAGTTGATCTCAGGAAATCTGGACTGGCAGGCTCGGTGTGGAGACGAGGAAGAAGGTCTACTTAAGACAGGGACCCTTTTGGATAAGTACTTAATGACCAGCACCCAAAGCACTCTTTGTCTTAAGTAGCTAAACCCGGCGGGATTTGTATATATATATATATGATAATATTTTGTTATTGTCAATATTCTTATTATTAGTGTGTCATCAGAAACTCATTCTTGCCTTCACTGCAGGAAAGCTCAAGAAATCAAGTCCGGCACATCTCTCTCCTTGACGTCCTTCACCATAAAGTCATTGAAGCGATCTACATGACCAGAAGCTTTGAGAACAGAATGCTGCATAATGCAGCTGTCCTGACAGAAGGGTCAAGAAAATGCATTGACTGATTCCACACCTTTGATCCCGTCTTGATTGAGGGCAACTGAATGCAATGGGTCAGGTTTGCATTGGCGGCATACTGCAATACATATCCACACATAAGATCCTGAATCCCCAAAGTCGGTTCTAACACGTTCTAACACTTTCACGAGTCCTCAATCTCCAGGAGATGTTCGGAGATCACGAAGGTCTGTCTCCAAAGGCTGATGATATTGTTCTTCACGGCGCAACCTGGTGGGCCATAGGTATAGAAGCCTGCAACACCACCATAGATGTCCGATGACTGCCGGTAGAAGAAGCGCCTCTTGCAAAGCTCCAGAAGCTCTTTTTGATTGCGTCCGAATTGGTCCTGGTCTTCGTCCTGGTCTTCGGGAGCTGGAGCTTGTGGTGTTTGCGCTTTGGAGGCTTTCTTCGATTCAGCCGCCTGTGCCTTCACTTCAATCTTGTCCAGCGATGCGGTCGCTTTGCCTTTCGTGGCATGTAGCAGGTAGTATTTGATGCTGGTGGAGAGGAAATCCGTCATCAGTTCTGAAGAACTTCACAGCTTTGTCTCCACTTCTGATCCAAAATGGCTCAAGCACTTGAAAGCGCATTTATGCAACCCAACATGTCACATATAAAGAACTGTATATGTTCAACCTTGCAACAACCGCCTATCGCCTATAGGTCATCTAATGCTTCGAGAGAACTGACTGTACATCAGTGGAATTGTCCGCAGGGCAATTGAGATAGATCTCAAATTTTGACATACTTGCCTTGTCTGCAAGAGTGCCACCAAAGAAGTCCAGCAACAAACTTTTCACCTGATCGATGAGCATATGTCTGGACCAGCCGCTACAGGCGAAAGACAATGTCGTCACGGTGAAAGAACAACTCCAGGTGAACAGGCACACACAAAACGGCACCATGAACATGTTGACTCAGGTCACCCCTCTTGCCGTTGGCATCCGTTGGCTTTTATTTGGTTTAGTTGAGAACCAAATGTATGCACCTTTCAATGAATTCAAGTGGTCAGGAACTGATGAATTCTGTTCAGGC